GACAAATTTATTACCCAAAACGCGAGAAAGAAGCTCTTCTAAGAAATCTCTTGATTCTATGAGAATTTATATAAATTAGATCAATAATTTATTTCACTCTAATGGACAAAATTATGAACTTTAACACTAATATATATATATATATGTGTGTGTGTGTGTGTGTGTGTGTGTGTGTGTTTTGTTTTCCTCAATGACATCGTGTGCTTATGCAATGTATAAATTGAAGACAACAAATAGTTGAAAAGAAAAACTAAAACTTTGATAAATTTTAAATTCAAATTTTATATAATAAGATAAAAAAAAATAGTTTATTAATTCTCTTGGTCTAGTAGAACATAAAGGTACAATGTAAGTTAATTTATCTATACTCTATATAAATGTGAGAATAGAGGAAAATAATGAGATTTTTTATAGCGTTTTTAATGAAATTTGTAATATTCGAAAGTAACATGAGTCATGGCCAATTAAAATTTTATATTTTATTAATTGATTTGATATATTTATAAAAATTATTTTTTAAATAAATATATATAGATAATTAAGCATTTCAATATTTTAATTTTTATCTTTTCTTAGTTTAGTTTTAATATATATATTATAATGAGGCATTTGAAAATTTTTTATATTTTATTTATTAAATATTTAATTATAATTTAAAATATTTTATTTTAAGTATATATATTATAATGAGCATTTGAAGAATTTTTTATATTTTATTTAATTATAATATTTAATTATAATTTAAAATATTTTATTTAGGAGTAGAGAAATAAAAAAGAAAAACATATATTCTTTTATTAATAAATTTTAAAATAGAATTATAAACAAGATATTTTATTTAGGAGAAAGATAAAAGAAAGAAAAAAAGTATATTATTTTTATTTAATATTTTTTTCTTTTGTTATATGATGTTGATTTGGATGTTTTTAAAACTAAAATTTCAAAAAATTTATATAATTAAATCTGGGATGAACAAGAAGTATTGTGAAAAATTTTAATTTAAAATATATTTTAATTATTTTGATTGATATATATATATTTATATATGATATATTTATATATTTATATATATTGAATTTTTTTTTTGTTAGATGAGTTTTAAAAAGAATTTTATTCTTAATAATATTTTATTTTCTTTTTCGTTACTAAATAATTTATAATTGTTATCATTTTAATTTAGCAAGAGATTTATATTTCCCTTGTAATAAATAGATGGTCTCTTGATGAATAAGTATTTTATTTTCTTTGATATTTCTTTCTCTTATATTCTAAATTTGTTTGGCTTAAAAGAAAATATTGTTTAGAAAACTAGAAATAAACTATAACTATATATTTCTGTTTTGGATCACTTTTAGGGGTGTCAAGAATTTGTGTGCATATGCATATATTCTTTTCTCTAATACATTGATAAGTAATACTACCATTGTAGTCAAAGTGATTACTATTATCAATTCAGATCATCTCTTTATTTTTTTTCTTTTACCTAGCAGTAAAAAATAATTTATTATTATTTTGTATAGTAGTTGTATATAGATATTGATTTGGGGTTGAGCGCAGGGTGTTGAGGGTGAATAATGACTTCATTTTTCTTTTTGGCATATATTAGGGTTTTAAGAATCTGCATTTATAATTTAGGGACTAAAGGATTAGATCTAGGGTTTGACATGAATTTTATTTTGAGACCGTTTCATTATATAAAAATAGAATCAAATACATAAGAAGTAGTACTGCAAGTAATTCGTACATCATAAAAAAGACTAATATTAATAGAAACGGTAAATTAAACAATTGTGTTTATTTTGCCCTTGAATGGATGTGCCAAATTGAAACGCAGCTGAATCGGGCCGGACTTACTCTGATGCCATATTAAAAATTTAAAGAATAGAGGTTGAGTCAATATTGACATATTAGCTAATTAACTTGCCATTCTTATATGCTTTTTATAGATTTGATGTTTACGCAACGTGGAATTCTTAAGAGCTAAAATGCGTGGAATGTTAGTAATTTATTCTATGAGAAAAGGAAAAAAAAATTGTCACTTTGCCACCGCCATCTTCCAATAAGATTCATTGTGTTGTTAAACTGGATTTGGGAGACTTTATGTAAACAATAAAGTTGTGTGTTGATAGTGAAACCCTCAGATGTCACGTAGCGGAAATATTCAACTATGAGTATCACAATTTATTATTATTATTTATTATTTTATTTAATAATATTTTTAAAAATATAAAGCTTTTATAATTTTATTTTTTTAACAAATTATTTTCAAAAGATGATGTACTAAAGGAATAAGCAAAATTTATAGATGTGAATCTCTTCCAATAAAGGATCAAAGCCTTCTTCTTTAATATTAATTTCGGTCGACTGGAGGTCCTTTTCATATTACTCTCAGCAAGAGAAAATCTTTTTGAATGTTCTTATGAAAATCTAATTTCTTTTCGGTTCTTTTGATATGCTTACATCAACATGTTCTTTTTCAAAAAAGAAAATAACTATTATAACATAAATCAAGCCTAATACGTTTATGTGTTTATTGTACTTCAAGTCTAGGAAGTGAAACTTTTTTTGAGTTTAATTTTCCTAATATTCATTAATATATTCCGAAAACTATTTAAAAAATGCAATAAATTATATCTCATGACTTGTTTAAATCCCAATTAAAAGGAAAATAAAAAGAAAAAGTGCAAATCAAAGGATTAAAAATCTTTTCATACCAATAACATCCGCAATAGAAGGAGTTCAATCACCTTAAATGAGTAATCTAGTGTTCCTTTCAATGCTGTGTATAAAAAAAATCCGCTTCAAGAGATCCCTACTTACACACCGATTGTATTTCGTGGAGATTAATCTTTATCTTTCAGGTGAGGAATATATTGGGTATATGTGAAAAAAAAAAAAAAATAGAGAGAAAAAATCCTTTCCTCCGATTTTTTTTATGGAAAAAGTACAGTAGGATCGCCGTAGATTGTGAAATACAACTAATTCATCTCTGTCTTTTTTAAAATAGATTAAAATATTTTTATAGTTTACTTCTATCAAGCTATAAGGTCATTCCATCCAATTTTTGCATTTTTTCTATTAAGTATCTTATGAAATGACGAAAATACAACGTTTATTTTTAAAAGCATATGGATGGATTAGTTGTATTTTTCAAACCATATGGACTATATTATAATATTTTTGGTATAATATTTTAGTATCTCTCTTTTGACTTCTATGTTTTCTTGTTGACTTAACAGAAAAGATGCAAAAAATAGACAAAATGACCTAATAGTATAATGAAAGTAAAACATAGGAACAAATTAGTATATTTTAAAAAATACAGGGACGAATTAATTGATTTCGCAAACCACAGGGATCGTAATATACTTTTTCATTTTTTATTAAAAATGGGGAAATAAAGGAAAATGCCGCCTAAAAATTTTGAAATTACATTTAAAATATGATAATTGTTGCCTAGGGTTCACATGCAAAGAATAGCCATATTGTTTTGCACAAATTAGTTGCTAATGACATTCTTAAAGACAAACGGTACAAACAAATGTTTACACTTCAAAAAAAAAAAAAAAAAAAAAAAAAAAAAAAAAAAAAAAAAAACAAATATTTACTTTAATGTCAACTTCACATGAAGTGTTATACTCACTCCTCTTTTTTTTTTTTTTCCTAATTTTGAAAAAAAAATAGTACTCTTTTTAATAAATCAGTCATCTAATAACTAACAAGATATTGATTTGAGTGATAAACAATCTCAATCTCTGTAAAAGCGAAAATATAAATTCAATCTCTGAAAAACACAATTTGTTGCAAAGACAGAAATCTATACGCTTTATAACTTGAAGAGGATTACACCCCTTAGTTAAAAAAAAAAAAAAAAAAAAAAAAAAAAAAAAAAAAAAAAAGAAAAAAAAAAAAAAAAAAAAAAAAAAAAAAAAAAAAAAAAAAACAATCTTCTAATAATTACATTTTGAAATATTTCAAAAGAAATTAAATTTTGAAATAATAATTAAAATTCGGAGGTATGCATCTCGGATAAAATATAAAAAATAATGACTTTTTAATCATTTAAACAGGGAAGATGCAATGCATATACCAACTAGACACGGAAGAAACTTCTTTATAAAATTATAGTAATTCTATAAAAGCAAATTAGTCTATATAATTCATATACGCCTATAATAGATGTGGGATTTTTGAGAATCAATAGTCCTGTTCTCATGATAAATAATTATAAATTTGATCAATTTTTTTAAATAAAAAAATAGAAGTGGGAGCACAATAATATGTAACCTATGTTCAATAAATCTCTAAATATATTAAATTTAAAAAAAAAAATCTTATGTTGATATTTCCACTAAAAGAACGATTTAAGCAATCCAAAAACAAACGGGAATAAAACAAAGTAAAACGGAGGCAAATTTGATTGGACTGTGAGGTAACAAAAACATCAGATGAGTAACACAAAAAAAGCCTCTCAAGAAAGAATGTACTATTGAGGATGCGATTTTACGCGTGCTAATGTACGCCTTTGTGCTCCGGTTTTATATATATATATATATATATATATATATTGAGGTAAATCACAAAAAAAGAGCCTCTCCCAAGAAGAGCAGTCACGTTGAGTGTGTGTGAGTTGCGGGATTTTTAACGCGTGCTTACATGGTGAGCGTCTCGTGATGCTTCCCGGTGGTGTGGAGGTAGTTGAGTATATGTATAAGTGGTATACGTGTGTGAGCGTAGTTGAGAGTGAAGCGAGTGTGCCCGTGATCGTGTGAGCGTGAGTGTGTGGTGTTCTGTTTGTGGGGTTCTTCTGCTTGGCAGATTACTAAAGCTCTGCTCTATCCTCTACTAATGCTCTGCATTGCTCTATATTATATATATCTCTCTGTTCTCTTCATCTGCCCTTGATGGCTACGTATCTCGTCTGCTGTATATAGTCTGAGCCGTCGCTCAACGGACTTGATCCTATTTGCTATTATTTATATATATATGCATGAACCCACTCTCCAGAGCTCACCTAAGCCTGAGTTGTGTTCTGTTTGTGGGTCTTTTTGAAACAGTGTTCTTTCTTCTTTCATTCTTTCTTTTCTTCATTCTTCTTTTCTTCAGAGATAATGGAGATAGAGATGAGACAATCAAAATTCAAAAGAATTTGTGTTTTTTGTGGTAGTAGTCCTGGAAAGAAGAGTAGCTACAAAGATGCTGCGATTGAACTTGGAAGAGAATTGGTAAAATGAAATTAAAGAAACACTTTTCTTCTCTGTTTTCTCTGTTTTTTTCCTCTGTTTTCCATAATTTAAAAACTGCTTCCCAAAATGGTTTCATTTTTCTAATTTGTTTCTTTTCAATTGTTTTTTCATTTCTTTTATTGGAATCATTAATTCATTATGTATAACTTCTTTTCTTGCTTTGGTTTTCCTACTCTAGTTTGGCTCCTCTGTTTTTGCTCTGTGTTATTTTTGTTTTTCTTGTACTTTTCCATTTTTGATCGTCAAAATTTATTTGTTTAACCTTTATAACATTAATTTAATGGGTTTTTAGTAATTTTAATGGGTATATTAATGAATTTGCAATCAATCTTGGAACTACATTCTACGTAACGGCACAACTTAGATAATTAACAAGTTTCTATTTAAAAGTACTTGGTTAAATTAGTATTAAAAATAAAATTTCATTCTTTTTTTTTTTTGTGCTCTCTAAGTTTCTATTTGTGCCTAAAAAAATGTAATTGAATTTCATAAATAAAGACTTGTTCTTTTTTTGTTTCTAATTTTCCTCTTTCACAGGTGTCGAGAAATATTGATCTGGTTTATGGAGGAGGGAGTATTGGTTTGATGGGTTTGATTTCTCAAGCTGTTTATGATGGTGGCCGCCACGTAATAGGGTAAAGAAATTTGGGTTTTTCTTGCTTTTCTTTTATTATTATTATTATTATTATTTTCTCACAGCTGTTCGAATATGATGGTGGCCGACCAACCGGTAATAGCAGTGATAAAGAAAATTTGGTATTTTCTTCTTTTCTTCATTACTATCATTATTATTTATTATTATCTTACCTCTTGGCTCATAAGTTGTTTTTCAAATTTGGTCCAAAAAAAAAAAAGAAAACCTAAAATAGAACTTTTATCTGTTTATTTGTTGTGGGTGAGCGTGAGCACGTGAGAACTGTTGTTGGGGGTGTGTCCTAATGTCCGAAAAGGAACAAAACTGAGTATTTATGTCTGGGATTATTGCCGGTTGCAGAAGGAGGGTTTAGTCGCCCAAGACAGCTCGAGTGCGGGTTAGAAGATTACTGTGTATCTGTCTCTCGACGTTGAGAGGTTTCTAAGGAAGGGTGGTTGGTTTGATATATTTATTTTGTTGTTTTGTAAAAAGGTTAGAAAGAAGCTGAAAACGTTAGATTCGATTAAGAAAGGAGGTAGCAGAAGTGTAGTGCTCCAAAGACCTAAAAAGAATAAAAAGTAAGAATAAGTCTAGACAGGATTTGTATTTGGTTGGGTTTTATCTAAAGCATAATTATTTTACTACTTCACTTATTGGTATTGTAATGCTCATGTGGTAAATCTAACTGTTGTGGAGTGAATTTGCCTACCTCTCTTTTTATTTTTTTTTTTTTTTTTTTTTTAAATTAAAAGACTGAAAAAATAATTTATTAAAATAATAGCAGAGTTATCTCCAAAACTAAAAAAAATAGAAATAATTAACATTTTATTTTTTTATCTAAGATAATTTATTTTTATCATTATTATTTAATCTCATGTGGTATCTAATTTGTATGAATTTCTACCTCTCTTTTATTATCTTTAAAACCTAAATTTCATAATTGTCTCATTTGAGGCTTGTACAAATTTCTAAAGATTTTTTTAGATTTTCACATTGATATAGTTTTCTTAAAGAAATTGCATATCAAATTCAGTCCACTCGGTATTCAACATTTTGTCCCCTCTCCACTACATTTTTTTTTTCTTTTATTTTCAGAAAGTATAATATATAAATATTAATTATGCTTATTATATGATTGTACTTGTCTTTTATTTCTTGTATTTTTCTTTTCTTTTTTTAAGCTTTATGACTTTGATTTGAGACCTCCACCTGCAAGCCCATCATTACCTATGTGGAAGTGTGGATAACTCTTAAAAAATAATTTCAAAACAAATAAAAAAAAAACGTTCAATACATATATTTCACTCTGTGTTTCGACAATTATCCATGTGCAAAACAATTATTACGTTGCTATTTCATACCTCGCTAATAATTATATATTTTTTTAAAATAAAATGTGCTAATAATTATATATTTTTTTAAAATAAAATGTGAAAGTGTTGAGTCATAATTGATATTTTATAAAAATAATTCCTTTTCACGAGATGTATAGTTATTATCGCAATATGAAATTACAAATATGACTGAACTTTTGCATAATTCATGAGGCTATAAAAATAATTAGCTAAAGTTTAGGGTCAAATTTATATATTAGACTGTTGAAAAACTGATATTTATTTTGCATGTATGACATTTAGATGGTGCAATTTTCAGATAACCGGAGAAACAGTAGGGGAAGTGAAGGCGGTCGCTGATATGCATCAAAGAAAGGCAGAAATGGCTAAACATTCTGATGCTTTCATTGCCTTACCTGGTTGGTTTAAGACTTACAAACATTTATTCTTTTCTTTACTCACACCACCATTACTTTATATGCTTATTTAATATACTATTAAGTGCTGCTCTTCAAATTGCTAAGAATTTAATTAGATTCTTTTTATTAATGTACTTGTCTGCTTATCTCTTTGTCTCTCTTGCTCGAACAAAGACAATGATAGCTTACTAATTCTATGAATTCATGTACAAAAAATTTCATAAAACAGATTACAACTTCTCAATTCACTAATTTAAAAATCTGGTCAGTAAAATTAACTGTTTTAGTAATATTTAACTGGTGACCGTTGAAGTAACTTTTCATAAAACGCTAAAACGTTAAATATTGCTTTTTATAAAATATTATTTTAATCCCTAAAAACAGTTAAGACAAACGCTGCGTTACAAAATACTATAAAAAAAATAGCTTTTAGAGTTTTCACTGGCTATTAAAAAGTAATTATTGAACACAGCTTTTTTTAATTTTCTATTCTCGTTATTATTTATTATTGTTGGTTATCTTCAAATCATCTGATATTCGAAAGTATTAGGTTTTTGTTTGAGCCTTGACACTTTCTATGTATAGTATGCATGGCGTGTGATTTTATCAGTATCTCTCACCCAAAGGAGCTAGAAAACAATAATAAATTTCTATCTTTTATTCTTTTCTTATGGGATAAAATCACCCTTGTAGGTCTTGTTGGCCCTTACATGGTCAAACTTACCTTTAATATATATTTTTTTTAATTTTAATCTCTCAAAACCTTCATAAGTGGTGATTATTAAATTTGAATTTATTTTCATGGATGTTATTGAAGGTGGCTATGGAACACTTGAAGAGCTTCTTGAAGTGATAACATGGGCTCAGCTTGGAATCCATGACAAACCGGTAAATTGCTTTTTTTTTAAAAAAAAAATCTTTTGTGTATTGAAATATATTTTATTTATAATTTGTAAAAACAATAATTAAAATTAGATTATCCCATTTTGTGATTAAATTACTAAAATATAATTGTTTCATTTGTAGGTGGGATTACTAAATGTGGATGGATATTACAATTCCTTGTTAACATTTATTGATAAAGCAGTAGAGGAAGGCTTCATTAATCCAACTGCACGCCATATAATAGTTTCTGCCCCTACCCCAAAAGAGTTGGTCAAGAAAATGGAGGTAAATCACCTTTTTTTTTTTTTTTTTTTTAAACAGAATGTTGAAAATAGATCAGTATCCCATTTTTGTGGCTTAGAAGTACTAAGAAGGTATAATTGGATTTTCATTTTGTAGGTGGGAGTTACTAAATGTAGGGATGGATGATTACAACATTTCCTTGTTGAAAATATTGGATAAGGCAGTCAGAGGAAGGCTTCATTAAATCCAAAGACTGCACGCGCATATATAGTTTCTGCCCCCTATCCCAAAAAAGAGTTGGGATCGAAGAAATAATGGAGGTAAGATCACCTGGTTTTTTTTTTTTTTTTTTTCTTTTTTTTTTTTTTTTTTTGCAAGTATATTCAACATAAAATATAAGTTTTTTTTATAAGCATATGTAATATTTATTATTTATTATTCATTATTTATTTTAGGAATATTTTCCACGACATGAAATAGTTGCCTCAAAGCTCAGCTGGGAGATTGAACAACTAGAGTACTCTCCAAAATGTGAAATCTCAAGGTGAAGAGAATTGGGAGAGGAGAAAAAGAATTGGCACTTTGGCAATGAAATGGACTAATTTTAGATGACCAAATGTTCCAAAGTGGGATCTTTTTTCCTCCCTACTTTGTTTTTTTTTTTTTTTTTTTTTTTTTTTTTTTTTTTTTGTGTAAACTAGACAACGAATTGACCCTCAAGCCCTTCGACTGTTTCTTTTTTTTTTCTTCTTATAATGAGAATTAGTGTTTTATTCACTATTTCCATTCGCTAGAAAAAAAAAAAACTGACAGGAATTTGAATGACCCAAAATTTACAAGCAACACAAACTTCTGCTATCGCTCTATCTGTTTACCATAGGCCAATTTCTTTTTTCTCTTCTTCTTTTCTTTATCTTTAAGACAAATGGCCATATCCCAAATTTATAATTCAACCTGGTTGGTTACTGTTATTAAACTAATTCCAAAACTTTTATTAAACTCATACGGTATTTGAAATAAATTTATATGCGAATTCATTTAATTCTGGCCAACGTGAATTCTTATTTAATAAATCATTTTTCAAACAAATTCTGCCAGATATTAATATCGTACTATACACATATGGTCTAAGTTTGCCACGCAATATATTGGGTTTCTGTTTTTTTTTTTTTTTTTTTTTTGTTGTAAACTAGACAGAATTGACCTCAAGCTTGACTTTTTTTTTTTTTCTTTTTAATGAGGAATTTAGTGTTTTAGTTCACTATTTCCATTGCTAGAAAAAAAAAAAATGAAGGAATTTGATGACAAAATTTATAAGCAACAAAACTTCTGTATGTCTATCTGTAATAGCATTTTCTTTTCTTTTTTTTTATCTTTAAGAAAATGGCATATCCAAATTTATAATCAACTGTTTGGTTATTGTTTTATTAAATTAATCAAAACTTTTATAAATATAGTATTTGAAATAAATTTATATGGAATTCATTTAATTTGCAAGTGAATTTTATTAATAAATCATTTCTAAATAAAATTTGCACAGTATTAATATGTTATATACACATATGTTTAGTTTGCCACGCAATATTTGGGTTTCTGATTAGCCCATAAATGGATGGGCTTCAATGCAGAATATTGTCCATTACCAAGCTCAGATTCTTAATGAGGTCCATAAAAGTGAGGGCAGGCTAGCCCATGAACCAGCAAACTCTAAAATAAAAGTGTTGAAATTTAAGGGCTCTTTTGTTAATAATATTTAGCAAGGCTCTGAGAATCGAACCGACCGTTGAACCGATAAAGATAGAGGTTCATTGAATTGGAGAGTAAGATCGGATTTAATATGGTTCGACTGAATTTTTATATATAATATTTTGAAATAATTTTTTAAAATACAAGTGAAAATATAGGATTTGTAAGTATTAAATAATTTTTACAAAAATATAAAATATGCTTAATTTAAATAGTAATATTATTTTTGTTTCATTTATTATTTTAATTTAATACAAATGAAATTTAAAAAGAAAAACCAGTCAAATAAGATTACAGAATTAAATTGTTAATGACAACTAATAAGGAAAAATATAATCAAATGATCTAAGAAATGGCTCAATGAGAGCATTAACAAGGAATCTAATCAATAAACCATTTATGTATTTTAATAGGAAGCTTTATGAGATCCACAGCAAAATTCACGAGACCAGCATAAAACACACAATATGGGTACAAGCCACTCAATAGTCTTGCCGAAAGCACCAACAAGAGAAAAAACTAAAGAAATCAAAGCAAACGGACAGTCCTAGCAAGAAAACCCAATGACTTGCAATTTCCATTTCTCGATCTGCTGTACCTCTTTTGTAAATATTGATGTGTGGAAGAAGAAAAAGAAAATTTATATAAAAATAATACAGACTGCAGATTCAAGGGCTCACACTTTTGATATTTCTTAGTAAATCTGGTTCATCCCATGTCATCTGCAATGAAGATTTGCAGATATATGTAAGCCAAAAACAAAAAAAAGAGATGGCAGATGTGCAGGCCAAGTAACAAACTATTGAATCAATATTAAAATCTACGGGATCTCATGCTAAAGGCATCAGATGCGTTGATGTTTTTTAGTTTTCGCGATCTGTGAATCATTTAAGAAAAATAAAATTACTGACGTTCAAAGACACATAAGCCAATTTTTGGTTTCTGGTCATTCAAAAATAACTGTAAATAAAATTATCATAAAAAATATTAATTTAAAAATTTTATGAATAGTTATTTTTCTAAGATTAATGGAGTCCAAATAAAATAATCCCTCGGTCCCATTTGTTTGCTTGTTATTTCTTTTTGGATGTCTCAAAATATTTGTAAGATTTCTAAATTTATACTTGTAAACAATTATTATTTATCATAATAACATTTATGCTCCTTCATTAAATGAATGATTTTTATTAATATTTTAATGAGTTAATATTAAAAAATGGCAAAATAACTTTTCTTGATTAAATTTTTAATATAAATATTTTGTCAAATTATGCAAACATAATGAAACAGAGAAATTAATATTCAAATCAACTATCAGTTAATGTAAAAAAGCTCAAAAATATAACTAACGAATCCACAACTATTTGAGACCTTTATCAGTTATTAGCTACATCAATCAGCCATCAACTACAAGAGTAAGTGGAATCAAACACCTTCAAATTGTTTGAAATTATTATAAAATGCAACCAGAGGTATTATTTTGTACTCCAGTCATTTAAAAAAAAGACAATCATTCTTTATAAATTATTAAAAATATTACAAAATATTAGTAGTCAGAGCTATTTATTTGTAATCTAATAACTTTAATCTTTTTTACAAATTTTTAAAAAGTATTATAAAATATTAGCAACCATAACTATTATTTTGAAATTCAGTAATGCTGTAAAAAAATCAAGTCTTTACAAACTTATTAAAAGTATTACAAAATACTATTAACCAAAACTATTATTTTGAAATTGACCGAATATATAATTTAATCTCTAAATTTTGACCAAAAAATCTTTATAGCATTTTAAATTTTAAAATCGACCTTGTGGCATTCTAAACTTCACTTTTGTTATATTCTCACGCCTCCTTACACTAAAACTAATTAATTTTAAAGTTATTGCCGTTTAATACGGAAAATATTAATTTGATGTGTGGTAACACAATTGTTGAAAGAATAATTTTTTACATTTTTAATAATGTAATAAATGTTTAATTGATCTAATTTTATAAATTAAAGTGTTCGATGAGCAAAAAAAAAAATTATTAAATTTAATTTTATAAATTAAAATGTTTAACATATTAAAATAAAAGTGAAGGATGCTATATAATTTTTATAAAAAGTATAAAAATAAATTTATTTATTCAGCCTTACATAATTACGTGACAAAATTTTACATCCCTTTGAAAACTCCACATCTTAAAACAAAATAGTATCAATTGAAGTCAACTCGAATCCGACTCTAGGATCCTGCCAAGCGCCCTAAAAGTGACGTCATATAAATGAGTTGGTACATGTGATATGTTAAAAATGGAATTCATGTTGGCTGAATAAAATGAAATTCACCACCGCAAGTCACGTTAGATATTTTAAACACAGTAATCATTATAAAAAAAAATATTCTTTCAATTTGCCCCATTTGGGCAATTTGGGCAATTTTTGATATACGACTTGCTATTTATTTTTGTTGAATTTAGTTAGGAATATTTCCAAATTAATTTACTGCTTTATTTGCAATTGAAGCTAATTAGATATTCTCCTTACACAAAAGTTTAATCGATACCCGAAAGGGCTAACTCAATTTTAATAAAGAGAATAATATAGTTAATACTTTATCTCCGTTCCATTTAGTGATATAGCAAAAAATTTATTAAGGAAAAACTCAATCAAAATGTATAATTTATAAAAATAACATATATAAAATATATTTAAGTGTTATTACAAAAATAAAATAAAATAAATTAAAATAATTCATTCTTTGTGTCGCTAAATTAATTAAATTATTAAATACTACAATTAAATTAAATACAATATGCTATTAGGTCGAATATTATAATTTAATATTAATTTATTAAACTCTCCAAATTATAATGCTTTAAAGAAACCAGCAATTATAAACTAAAAATTAGTTGTCTATGAAGACAAATAATTAAAAAAGGTACAAAATTATAAAAAATAAATCAAAATTTTAGGCATCAATCCACTAATTACGTATACAATGTATGAAAGCACACTTATCAAGACTTAATTTTATTGATTTGACCTATTACAGCCCTACAGGAAACATGTGTCTACGTATAGATTGAATCTACTAGATGGATCAATTGAATCTTTAAAATTGTTTCCTCAATTGTTAGGTTCGTATGTGTAAAATTAGCACCAAATTTTAATATTACATCTATCTTATGTGGCATCCACTAGATGTAGAAGGCCTAAATTTGCCTTTCAAAGTCAAAGATGGTCATCTGGCCCGAGTCAAACCATATGCTTTAGTAGGTTTTGATGGTGGAAGTCATTTAAATTAATTAAGGGTTGACTTTTCTTTTCTAGGGTTTATGTAGGGTTTGGGCCATGAACTTTGATTAATGAAATAATAAAATTAATTATCTATTGGTTTAAACCTTTTTCCCCCTTTGACATAGAATTAAATCTCCTAATCATGAGTTTAATGATTCTATTAATGATCATGTGCACGAGTCTGGGATTCAATCCAGAGGCATGTGACATGGCACGTGAGCATTGTAGAAAATGATGGAATTGCCTTTAGGTAGAAAGGAAATATATATTTTCTTAGTAGTTCGGAGTCAACTTATCAATATCTTAAGAGAATAATTAAAAGGGAAAAAGAATTGATATTTAGAGGATTTGTGAATTTAATATTATATATTTTTATGAAATTAATCTAATTTTAAGGTTTATGACTGTCTTTCTATACAGTAGTTTGTCGACTCAACATGAGTGACTGCTAATTTAATGCTTCAATTAATATTGAAGAAACAATTAATTTTTCTATAAATAATTAGAATTACCTATTTAAGATTTTTTACATATGGGATTTTTTTTTTTTCTGATGAATTGTTTCAAACATTGGCATCCCTTTCTTTTCTGTTATTTTTCTTTTGAAAACGATGTTACAGTACCAACCCATTATGTAACCTTAATAGGAAAAGTTG